CTCTTTTTTGTTATAGGGACAATGACCGTGAGTCCCTAATTTTTGCATAATCAGCCATCGATGTCAATGAAAGTAAAAAGTGAGGCCAGGGTGGGGGTGAGTTTAGTAAATATGATTGGCCTGGAATTACCCAGAAAAATTCTGTAGTTGAAAGTAGATTTGGTTTTCTCCATTCCCGGTCTAAACTTTACGTACTACAGCATAGAAGTAGTACATGGCAAAGTCGAATTTTTGGCAGACATGGTTTTCCAAAATGTAATTTTCAGTAACATTGCAAAAACAATGGGTTTATTATGAAGAGAACCATAGAAGAATCATGAAATAAAGAAAACAGTTGCTTGACCTGTTTCTTATACATTTGCTAGGTGCATCCAATATGTTTGCTAGGCAGCACTAGAGTAAGTTGCACATTTGCCAGCGTTCTGGGCTACCTGTGAATCAAACCATTATGTTAAATGTAACTTGGTTTATTTGTTTGGAAGACAGCCTTTGAAGTGAAGACAGGGATTGTGCTTTGTGAAGATATATCTAAAATCTAAAATATGACCAGCATTTCAGCATCTGAAAAAAAAATGTGTATAGCTACTACAGTAATAGAATAGCTGGTTTCTTGATGCTTGTCCATCTTCATTTCAGTTTTATTAGCATGACACATCTATCTCTTATGATTACTCGGTTTTAGCTTCTCTTCTGCAGTCTATTTGCCTTGTGTCACTTCATTTTAAGGAAAGCCCCATCCTTTCCTTCTTAATATATTTCTCCTCATATACTGCAGAAAGACCAGAATTTGGAAATAAGCCTGTACTGAAACAGTAAATTCAGCTTTATAGATTCAAGCTCTAGAGAACAAGTATAAACCTTAAGAAGCCAGGTAGACTTGGACCTGTTTCATGCAGTTCTTTGGTTGACTTTTACAGCAGGTGAGGGAAGCAGCTGCAGAGGCATTTTCATAACTTTTACCTCAGAATCATGGGTTGATGAGTTTGAACATATAATGTATGAAAAGAAAAAGATTAAACAGAAACCCATCAACAACTCTTATCAATCTCAAACTTTAAACTGTGCATATATATTTTTATGTGAAAAATAACTTCATTTTTTAAATAAAACTGGCCAAAGTGACTGGCCAAAATCACCCAGCTGGTTTTTATGTCTAAGGCAGGACTAGAACTATCCAAATTTTGGAACAATGTGATTTATTTATTTTTTGGCAGTTTACTCCTATAATCCTTAACATATCAATCTTTCACGTTCCTTTGCAAAAGAAAAGTAATTTCAATTGGAAAACAACCCCAGAATTATATGCAATGCCTCAGTTTTTCATTACCTCCTCACTTGGTAGTGCTTCCAGAAACCTCTGCTGAGGATTTCAAAAACATCAATGTAGTGAGTGAGATTGCACAATTGAAGCCCTGTCCCTGCATTTTTTTAATATATGCATTTGATGCATATCAAAAAAAAGGGGCAAAATGTTCATTTCACATTTCATGGCAGCCATCTTCACTTTTTTGAGACACACACACACACACACTCACATACACACAAACAGACACACACACAAATGTACACACGCACACACACACACTTACATGACTAGTGTCCCTGAGTGCTGCTCCATTGGGAGCAAGAGCAATCGAATCAAGTATTTATGTTGTTGGCTCAGGAAAAAAGAGGTTTCTGTCAACTCTATCAAGGCTGGCAACTCAGGAAACAGAACTACTTGGATTTCTGGAATTCAATTTATTGCTAATAGGGTAAAGTAACAACCTCTTGAAAGCCTGCCAAAGCAATTAATGGGATCAATTTATACTTCTTGTGCTTAAGATGAAATTACTTTGAGTCTCCTTCTCATCTTTCCCTCCTCCCCTGAAGTAAGGAAATTTTTCTTCTTTAATGGTCTGACTTCTTCCCATGATGGCCTATCTTCCACCCCCATGTTCCCTGTATCTGTTAGACCTCCCATCACATGGTCTCCCCGTCAGTCTCACTACTTAGCCAAACAAACAATGTTTGAGAGTAGCATTAGTTTTCTCCATCTGTTCACATGACTCCAGGTGATGATAGGATGACAAATGGACATAAATCAGTGGTGGGATTCAAATATTTTTACTACCAGTTCTGTGGGTGTGGCTTGGTGGGTGTGGCAGGCGAAGGATACTGTGAAATCTCCAGTCAGAGGTGGGATTTGCCGGTTGTCTGAACTACTCAAAATGTCTGCTCCCAGTTCTCCAGAACTGGTCAGAAACTGCTGAATACCACTTCTGATACCAATGTCTGCTAACTGAAAGAGGACTATTTCAAAAACGGGGTATAAATTGAGAACCACGATCAAATCACGTGATTAACTAGGAATTTGTACTATGATTTAAACACTGCTGTGCCATTTCAAGAGCAGGCAACTGTTCTTCACAGAACAAAAAAACAAAACAAAACCATGCAGGTAAGCAGATCCACTATCCTTACAATGACAAAACTATGCACACCCGGAAGATCAAGAATAAAATCCAGGGAAATTGCATGTCACAGTCTAATGGGAGACCGGAGCAAACTTACTAGCTTAGTAGAGACAGTCTTGGTCGAAGAGCAGACATGATATTCTCCCTGTTGCCACAAGCAGTCCTTGAGTCCCAGATACAGCATATTAAAAACGCCTCCTTGCCCTGCAATCTTATTGTCACATTTATGAGAGAGAAAAATGCAAATGGCCATTTGAAAAAGTTCTCCTTAGCCAATCTGTATGATGGTCTGGAGATCATCCATCCAACTCCTAGCACATGAGTTTTATTGTAGTAGTAAATGAATCAGATCCAATTGATGCCTGCCTTCCACCCACAATGTCTCACGGATATCTCTTCCAGGGGGAAGAGGCATCAAGATTATGGTAGGAAAGAGCAAGCAGGAAACATATAAAGGCAAAGCATCCTGCTAGCACTTTATTTTGTTAACTAGGAGCTAGGAGTAATGTAGAAATAAGCATAAGAGCAATTATTGTGATGCATGGGCAGACTAGCCCATTGAGGAAATCTATTGTTGAAATACTGCTTTTATACAGCTATAATGTGTATTCGAATTTCCTGCTTTCTGAAAGTGGTTCAGCCGTCGTCGTCCCCCGTCCCCCCCCAAAAAATAAGAGGCAGAAATAGTCAAATCAATATCGGGATTATGTGTCTGGATGCCAGCTTTCCTCAAGACACTATGGGCATGAAAGAAAACAGTCAAATTCACGGAAGTTCTCCTTCTTCGTGGAAGATCATTACCACATTCCTTCCTGCCCTTGGCATCGTGGTTGTAGAAATTCTGGAGATCTTGGATAAAGGAATGCTTTCCTCCTGCCCAGACAGGTTTCAGTTCTACAAGTCAGCTCAGCTCACTGATCCACGAAGCAAAAGGTGGAGACCAACTTAGCATTTATCAACAGTAACTCGAGGCTAATGATGCAGTAGCCCATGGTCAAGGGAGAGGCTATTATTTTGCTAGAAGAGTAGATGGGCACCTGGTTGCCAATCACTTATATCTTAGAATAGGCAGCCCAATTATTTCTGTTATACTTAATACCATCCTTCTTTTTGCTAGACCCTATCAAAAATCTACATCACCCCTTCATCACCCCTGTAAATTGACCTAGCCACATCTGTGCTTCCAGACCTTCGAAGTGTAGAGATACCATCAACCACATACCCCATGTCCCAACTTCCCACCCATTTTACCCAAATGCTCCATAGCCTGGCCAGACTGTTTGTCAGAGCTTCCCAAATGTGGCAGAAATTCATAAGAGAAATTTAGACCATCCAAAGAGCCAGTCTAAAGCCAGTCTAAAATTCCTTCAATTCAATGCATGCATTGGGGAAGAAAGGGAGGGCAGAAGTGGACCTTGAAATGATAAATGTTGTTTTAAATATTCTCTGCCTAAACAGTTTGATGCAGTGCTGATGTTTAACAGATAACAGATAATCAGAGTTGGAAGAGACCTTGTAAGTCATCCAGTCCAACCCCCCGCCTAAGCGGGAGACCCTACACCATTTCTGACAAATGGCAGTCCAATCTCTTCTTGAAAGTCTCAAGTGATGACACTTCCACAACTTCTGAGGGCAAGCTGTTCCATTGGTTGATTGTTCTCACTGTCAGAAAGTTTCTCCTTATTTCCAGGTTGAATTTCTCCTTGTTCAGTTTCCATCCATTATTCCTTGTCTGGCCTTCGGGTGCTTTAGAAAATAGCTTGACCCCTTCCTCTCTGTGGCAGTCCCTCAAGTATTGGAAGACTGCTATCATGTCTCCCCTGGTCCTTCTCTGACTAGCCTAGCCATGCCCAGGTCGTGTAACCATTCTTCATATGTTTCAGTTTCCAGTCCCCTAATCATCCTGGTTGCTGTTCTATTTGAATTTTTGCCAAATTGTTTTGCAATTATTTTATGTATTGTAAGTAGAGTTTGACTGAGAAGCACAATTGTTTATTTTTGAGATATATATATTAAAAAAAAATCATAGAAAAATAAAATACAATAAAAAGGTTTTATAGAATTGAAATAATTTTTCAAAAAAATAAAGTTGCATTTGTATACTAAAATGAAATTTTAACAGTATATGTGATACAATCAAGAAAGGGGAAAAACTTTTTTTCCTTTCTTGATTGTAACAGATATACTGTTAAAATTGGGTATCATAAAGAGTTTTTGTAAGGTACAATACATTGTATGATTATAAAAGGGAATATCTCATAGATCTTCAAAGGAAATGAAATTGTAATGAAATGCTTGATTAGACTGTTGGAAATAGTTATTTTTATTCTAAGAGGCTGCATGCTTATCACATTCCCTTTTAAGTCTATAAGAAATCAATGAATTTAAACATTACGCTCTTCTTAGAACAGTGGATAAAATCTAGTACAGTACTCAGCAATTGGAGGAAGATTTTTTTCGATTATTGTTCTGCTAAAGTATTTCTCTGGAGAATTTTCACTCAAGTGACTGATTATGTATACATTTGTATGTTTTCTTTGGAAGGTGTACGAGGCAATCCCCTGTTACAGTGAGTGCAATCAGTATTCTTGGCGAGTAGAACCATGGTCCCAGTGTGAAATCAGCAGTGCACAAAATTCCCTCCATTGTGGAGAAGGAATACAAATGAGGCAAATCAGGTGAGTGGAAAATAAAAGCAGTTGGCTATTGAATCATGGATTGAGTAGTTGATTAATTGGTTGATTGATGGATTGTTGATTTGATTTCTATAGCTGCCCAGCTCAACCAAATGACTGGGCAGCTTACAATTCTAAAATTATAAAACAATTAAAAACCATCCCCAAAAATTAAAGCAATAAAAAAACCTCCCACAAAATAAATTTAAAAACAAGCAAGCTAAGGAAATGTAACAACTGTTTCTGGAACTTTTGAGGATATTGTTTTCCATTAACATCTTTATAAAACTGTCTTAATTTTGTCACTTGAAGTCCTTTTCAATTATTTATACTGTTGTTGTTTTTTTAAAAAATCAAGTAACCAATATTGTACTATGCTATGTGATGCTATACTATTCAAAAGACTTTTGAATACAAAGGTGTCTAGAGTAGTCTGTTTCATGTTTGCATGAAAATAAAGTTAATCTTTAGGAGGAAAATTCTGTTGCATGGATTGTAAGCATATCTTTGGATTCATGAACAGCGTTTTACTTAATTGCAGTATTTCTACACAATTTCTACATATTCTTTCAGCTCTCCTCAGCAACACTAGCATGACATAAATATTCAGATAGAATGAACTGATTAAATAATTCCTAGTTATCCACTGCAATGAATAGTTATATCTGACATATGTAACAAACATAAAAATATTTCTGAAAATTAAAAAAAAAAAAAACCTTAATTGAAAGCCTACTGAAGGTAAGATCAGGAAATGGAAAAAAAAATCCCAGAAGAAAACAGTGACAAACCATTTTTATTCTGCTGTCAAGATAATTACCGAGACGTGTCTAAAAATTCACCAGATGTTGAGCTCGATTCAGAGGCTTGTCTATTCACTGTATTGCTTATTTGTTTTTCATTGTGGAATGCCTTGCAGATGATGTTCTTATCATCCTACAGATGTATAAACACCACTGAAGGTGGAGATGGTGAACCCGTACCTCTTGTGCTTTGTAATCAGTCCAAAGTTCCCTTGGAAAAACAGAAATGTATCCTCTATTGTCCTAATGAATGTGTGGTGTCTGAATGGAGTCATTGGAGTCAGTGCCCAGAGGTACTTTAGTTCTGCCATAGTTCAAATGCTTGCTATTTTTAAGTATTAACAGGCTCAACCGTGACATGCTTAGATCCATAATGCCATAAAAAGAAGGGACGAAGAAATATATATTTCCTGAAACCCAATATTGTTGCTAAACAGAATGATAATAAGCACTTTCTCTAGTGAAGCAATATAGGACTTTAGTTCGTCGATAAATATGCATTTCTTAAATTATCATTTATAGCACCAGTACTGACATTTGCTTTACATGGGTCTACCCTTGAAGAGCATCGCAGCTCTTCCCAGCAATTTAGCTACTATGGCTCAAAATGAGGGGAGCAGATATTATGAGTGCTGTCAATCTGCACATGTTAAGCCTCTTCTCCGTGAGTTGCCTCAATTGCCAGTAGGCTTTCAAGTTAGGTTCAAAGTGGTTTCAGTTACCTATAAAGCTGTTCATGGAACGGGGTCAGGTTACCTGAGGAAGCACCTTTCCCTGGTTGTGTCAATCCATCCCATCGGATCCAGCAGAAGAGGCATGCTGTGGGTCCCATCTACTAAAGGATGCCATCCTACAGGACCCAGGAAGTGAGCCTTTACTGTCATAGTGCCTGCTGTTTGGGACATCATCCCTATGATCACATGGTTGTATCATGGGCATGGGGTTCAGAACACGTGGCAGAGTTAATACGATAGTTGTGTTGCAAAAAAATTGTGGTTTGATCTCAGCTACCAATTTCATACATAGCATTGTGGTGTTTTTGATGTTGCTTTTCCAGTGTTGTTAGCTGCCCAGAGTCATCATGATGAGATGATGACCATATAAATTTCCATCTCATTTTACTTGATTGCAATAGTGATCTTCTATTCTCAGTGTCTGTGTACAGTAAATGTACAGTAAGTGGATAAGCTGAGAAATTAAGCCCTTTTTGAAGATTCAGTGGTAGCAATGTTTAAACCAAATGCCTTTTCTTGTAACATGTTCATGTCCAAAAACCCTAATTACATGAAAACATTTGAGGCCTTTCATGGGCCTGATAGTTCCCAAGGTGTCATATTCCCAGTTGTAAGTAATGCATGTGATGATAAAGATATTTCTCTATTATGAATGCCCATGTGTTTTCTCTCTGTAAAAGGAAAATAACCTCAATATATGCTACTAATAATTGACAGCCAAAATACAGAATCTGAATGCCTCTGGAAATTCATAATTGATCCTAATCTTAAGATTTAATGTGAAGAGTTTGTATTCATATTTGAAAAAGAATCTTCCTGAGGAAACAGTCCTTCATATATGCTATTATGCTGTCATTGTCATATTGTCATCATTCTACTGACATTATAATAAGCAAATCCTTTTGAATAGCTATGTTGTTTTCATACTAAGACTGTGAACCAATACAGATTAAATAAGCCTGGCTTCTAAAAAATATTTAAATGCACTATTGCATGCAAAATGCTGCAAATTATTTTTCATGGTTGCTATCAGCATAACAACCCACTCAGTTCTTTTTAAAAAATCTGTCCTGTGAATTCTTATTTGCCATTATTCAGTTATATTCTTTCACAGGTAAAACAATAAGGCTATAGAATGATACTCTTAGTTTAACTGCAGCCATCCTAAATCTGTACTCAAATCGTCCTACTACCCATGGTTCTTGAGTTAACCGAGACTGCTGGGATTGCTATCACTAAGTGATAAGGTTCTAAAACACAATGTCATATGACCACATTGCTTAGCAATGGCCATGGTAATCCCAACAGTAACCCCAAGACACATGGGTTGTTAAAAGCATGAAGTGGCAGCAGTGGCAAGTAAGGAATCCGGGAATGTCCAATTGCTTTGTGGAGAGTAGAGAGGCCCTAGGAGGCCCAGTGCAGTAGTGTACAAGCACATGAACACAAGGGATGCATGGATGGTGCTGTGTAGCCTGAGCACAGAAAGACCGGGGGATGAACGGTATGGCAGGACACAGATATAAAAAGACTGGGAGATGACACAGCAAAGCGGGAGTGCAGGAAAGTCAGAGGATGGATGGTGCAGCAGGGCATAAGGGCCCCCAGATAAGGTTGAAAGTTGGAAGCATGGTTCTCCAGTGGTTCGCCCCCTTTCTCCTTCTTTCTCCTTGCCCAGTTCCAATTAGCATTGGAGGGGAGGGGAGATCTATCTTAGGCTTCTCTTATCTGGGATGCATCAGGATTAGAGTCTCTCTCCCCTCATCTATTTAACATCTGTATGAAGCTGGTGGGTGAGATCACTTGCCAGCATGAGGTTCCATATCACTGGTATATATATCTCACCCCCAAACCGAACAAGTGCTTACTCAGGACTTGGAGGTTCTGAGAGGGTCTAGATAGTGAGGAACCATCTACAACTTAACCGTAGCAAGATTGTGTGACTTTGGGTTTTGGGGGTCCCCTGTATCTAGAGGGTTGCCATTTTCAACACATGATGGGGGTGGGGCTCTCCTCGACATAATTGATGTGCAATTTAAGGAACCTCCTGGACTTTCATTTCCTTCCTGAAGAGAAGATTGCAGCCATAGCTCATGGGAGTTTCTTTGGATTACCCATCAGTGGTGGGATTCAAATTGTTTTACCACCAGTTCGGTGGGTGTGGCTTGGTGGGCTTACTCGGGCTAACGCATGTGCGTGGCTTTCCCCACACCAGCTGAGGCCTGCAGCGCCAATTAGCTAGGAGGATAAAGGAAAGAATAGCGCAGGGGCAGATGGGAGGGCAGATCCTGTGCTTTTGTCCAAGGATTTTTTTTCCTCTACTCACCTTTTTTTTACTACTGGTTTATTTGAACCGGTCCGAACCAGTAGCATACCACCACTGCTACCCATCCAGTAAATTGATAGGGTTACCTCATTCCAAGTCCCTTCAATTTTATGTGGCCATCTGCTAGGACCTAAGAAGTGAGCCTTCTTGTAGATGTACCAACCCTATAGAACATCTTCCCCTGTGAGGGAAGAGGGTCCTATCTTCCTTACCTCACAACCAGACTTTCCTCTCAGGGAGGAGGGCATAATGAGGCATAATGCCAGGTTAGCTCTGATGATGGTGTGCTCAAGTTTTAATCTTTTGTTTTTATTATGTGTGTGTTTGTTAGCTGCCTAGGGTTGAGTAAGGTTATACACACACACACACACACACACACACACACACACACACACACACAGGATTAAAATGAGGGCTGCTGCTTGGTGCTCTCTCTGAGGTTGGTTGTTTTCTTGCAGATGTTTCATTACCCAAATTAGGTAACCTCATCAGTGCTCCCCATGAAACTGAACTAGTTTGGATAATAAAGTACTAAGAAAATAACTATTCCCAGAGAGAACCAAGGACACACATCCCCACCCCCCGCATAACTTGTACAAAAACTTGTACAATTCAAATCAATCCCACTATACCATGCTAACAGGTTCATATTACTTCATATTCAGGTTCGTATTCTCTCGAGAGCCTCCACAATTCTATTTTTTATTTTACTCTCATTTTTAGTTCATTGTGCTGTTTTTCTTCTTTTTTTGGTTGTGCTATATCTTACTAGCCAGTAGTACACTGTACTAAACACTGGCTGTATTATGAATAGAAGGTGTAAAAACTTAAGATGGGTGAGAGCATAATAAGGTCATAGCAAACAGGAAACTATATTTGTATATTTGGAATGGATGAATATCCCAAATAGTTTGCATTACAATTTTTTTTAAGAGCCTGGAGTATGATGAGAGGGGAGGAGAGGGGGAGAGACAGAGAGAGAGAATTCATTTCTATAGGCCTGTTTGCCGTTTTCTTGAAAATGAGAGATATTTTTTCTTAGTTATATAGGATTCCTTTTATCTGGGAATACAAAAGCCATATGGTAGAATATGTTTATTAGGCTAACACAGGTTTACCAATCAGTCTGCTAACTTTCAATTTTTTTAAAAAAAAAACTTTTTAGAAAGTTTATTTATTTATTTATTAGAAACTTAAAGGATGATGGAGAAAGGAATAAATATAGCAAGGGTTCAATCCATACCTCTCTCAATTTCAGCTTGGATGAAGTATTATAGAATCTGCTGATGTGAAAATTAGTTTTTATCAGTTTTGGTAGTGGTGTGAAGTTGCACTAGATATTCTCCCAAGGCTTGCTAGGAATAGGAACAAATATTTGTTACGGATCCATTTTTGGAACTGTAATATCCAGTTAAAACTGTTTTATCCATATGTGAAACATGAGGTTCCTGTAGTAAGTTTAAAACAGAAAACAAAGGTAATTCCACTTAAAGGTTGAGGCCTATATCTGATCTGTGTGCAAGGGAAAAAAATATCTTTCTGTAACATTCACTATATCTACATACCATTTTTATGTCTATGTTTAAACAAAGAACATAGAGGTAGTCCTCATCTTAGGCCAATTGCTTAGGGCAAAAGTGGGCTGAACTTTCATTGACAAGGAGCTCGCTGGTCGCGCAGGCACCACTTTGGGGCTGAAACGCAGCTTCAAACAGGCAGCTAATTGAGGGAGCACAGAACTCACCTGGCCGGAGGGAAAGTTAGTTATTTAGGGAAAGCATAAAACAAGGGCAGGTGGGCAGGCCCAACCAGAGATCACAGCTAGGGGCTTGCCCGTACCTTGCCGACCATCCAGGGGAGGCTCCCCCCCAACAGTCACATGATGACATTTTGGGCACTTCGCAACCAGGCCACATTCACAGCTGTTTGCAGCATCCCACAGTCACATAACAGTTTTGCCAAAAATAAACCCCAGCATTTAAGTTGTGGTTTTCAGCAATATTCTACAGAAAAGAAAATGGTCAAGAAATTGGCTTTATAACTGTCACGAGATACAACCGTAATGGGCAGGCTATTATACTAGCTCAAGGACTACCCAAATACTATTAACAGATACGATTAGTGTTATTTATATGATTTATAAACCAGTTATATATTCCATTTCTTCTTCTTACCTAAGATTCATTTTGGGAATTCTTGCATCAAGACTATGTCTTGCCTGTTTCAATAAACA